AATATGTGCTTTGCGCTAACTGCTTTTTAGAAACGTTTATTTTTTTAATGGAGACAGAATCTCACTCTGTTGCCCCAAGCTAGAGTTCCCTGGCATTAGCCTAGCACACAGCAACCCCGAACTCCTGGGCTCTAGCAATCCTCCTGTATCAGCCTCCTGAGTATCTGGGACTACAGGCATGCACTACAATGCCTGCTCAGCTAATATTTTTCCTTTTATTAAGTCATATACACATAGATCATGAATACATTTATGAATTTGTGGGGTACAATGTGTTGATTTTTTTATAAAATTTGGAGTGTTTACATCAAACTAATCAATGTAGCTTTCACCTCATTTACTTAATTATTGTGTTAAGACATTTAAGTTCTATTCTTGATAGATTTGACTTTTTAGAAACATCTTGATTATGGTTATTGGACCTAGAAGTAAGTTTGAGAAGATATGCTTTGGGGGGAAGTGCTGAGCATCCTGATAAATGATTTGTGATTCTGTAAACTTTGGATTTATTTACTTAGGATAATGGAGATAACAAGGAGAAAGATTAATACACCTTTGCCAAAGAAGTAAAGCTAGATGGCATAATTTCTTCTTAAAATTACTAAGGTGGATAATGTTAAAGGAATCATGTCAAAATACTGCTGACATAACTCAGTATTAATAAAGAAAATGTTGATCATATGTGATAAGAAGGGGAGAGATTTGGGCACTGCCATTTAAAAGTTGTACAGCTGGGCCAGGCAAGGTGGCTCATTGCTGTAATCCTCGCACTCTGGGAGGCTGAGACAGGTGGATTACTGGAGGTCAGGAGTTTGAGACTAGCCTGACTAAGAGGAAGACCCTGTTTCTGAAAACTAGCCAGGCATTGTGGCAGGCGCCTGCTGTCCCAGACACTCATGAGGCTGAGGCAGGAGGATCACTTGAGCCCAGGAGTTGGAGGTTGCTGTGAGCTATTATGCCACAGCAGTATATCAAGGGCAACATAGTGAAACTCAAAAAACAAAAATCTGCGTGGCCCATTATTGTTTTCCTAATACCTTCTTCATTATGGTATTGTAAGGATTATGTGAATGAAATGACATAAATATGCTTAACACAGTTTTTGGTATACAGCAAGTGATAAATAAATATCAGTTAATGGCTTGGCTTTCTAGCTCAAAGGTTCAATTCTGACAGAACTTTTAAAGGAAATCAGTGGCTGAAGCCCACTCTAGACCAAATAAATCAGAATTATTTAAGGAAGGAGCCAGGCACTGTTATCTTTAGAAAGCCCTGCAGGGGATTCTAATGTGCAGCCAGGGCTGAGAATCACTGAGAATCCCCTCTACAAAGTACTCAATTAGTGACAGTCTTGAACACCTCCCATAGTAAGACCCCTGCTGCCACCTAAGATGGCATTTTGTTCTAAAAAGTCATTTCCTTAAAATAGGTAACATCTGTCTCTGCAATTTTTATGACTAGTCCCTGTTCTGCTTTCTGGAGACAAATGTAACAAGGTAAAACACGTCTTTCTCTCCATGGCTTTGTAAAGCATTTTCATCTCCAGGGTAAGGTGCTTATTTCCTTCAGCTTGCTTCCATGACATGATTTGAGCTTCTCTTTTCCCCATTTGGGCTAGGGCCTTTCTTTTCTAAGTGTGCTGCTGAGGATGAAACACTGCATTCCAGGTGAGATCCCTGACAGCTTGAGATAGCAACAACTTAGTAGTAACAATTTTCATTTCAGATACTTCCTATCTAGGAATTCATACAAAGAGGGGGTTAGTGTTGTAGCCACATCATACTACTGATGGAGCAATTGCAACTGTGTTCCTGTTAAAGTAGCTGAAGCCTTTTCTGTACTTGTACAATCGATTTTCATATCTACATGTAAAACTTTACATGTATTTCTATAAAATTCTCTTTTGTTCAATAATATTCATTGTGCCAAGCACTTGGTACATGAAGATGAACAAAACTGACTTGGCTCTTAATCCTAATGGAGTTTGAAATCTAGCCCAGAAAAACAAAAGAGAACCCCAAATAACTACTTATGGATGAGTTTTTCATGTCACTTTGGCTACCTGAGCTCTCAAAGTCATCACTTCCTATGCCGCAGTTCCCTTTCACCAGTAGATATATGCTTATAACTAAGCCAATGAGAGTTCCCTAAGTAACCATGTAACACAGGTCCCTCCACAGATGCCCTTTTCTCTTCCTGATGATGTAGACTGCACTGCCAACTTCATTTTTGGCAGCTCTCCATTCTTTCTAGGTTGTACTTTCCTTTTACAATCTAAGATCAGAGAAACATGCCTGTAAGTTTCTATAAACTTTGTAAAATCTGCCTTCCTACAGTTGAGACATATGGCAGACTAGACTTGGTCCTCCCCTCCTTCCTTTTCTCCCTCCACTTTCCTGAATTGTGGAGATGGGCTCTTAAGGATTACATAACTTCCTCTTCACCAGCCAGTTCCTCTTCCTTGGAATCAATTCCCTACACATCACAAAATATTAACTCTGAAAGTTCCCTCTACCAGAATGGTTTCTTCTTGATCAAATTATAGCTAAGAATTTTAAGAAAGATCATGTTTTTCCAAATATTTCTCTCTGTGCATAACGTCAAATCAGGAAATTAATTATTATAATTCAAATCCATTAATTACAACTTTATAGAAGTGTGCTCCTACAAAAATGTTTTACTGAGAAAAGGGTCACTATCTTACTTTTATTTTCCACACAGTACTTAGCCAAGTGTGAAATATTTACTAAAATAAGGTTAATCAAAGAGTATATATATATATATTTTTGAGACAGAGTTTTACTCCCTTGCCCTGGGTAGAGTGCCATGGCATCATAGCTCATAGTAACCTTGAAATCTTGGGCTCAACTGATCCTCTTGCCTCAGTTTTTCATTTTTAGTAGAGATGGGGTCTCGCTCTTGCTCAGGCTGTTCTCAAACTTATCTGCCTGCCTTGGCTTCCCAGAGTAGTAGGAATACAGACATAAGCCACTGCACCCGGCTAAAGAATGCTTATTAAAGTTAACTTTTATTGCACTTGAGACTTAGAAAAAATTAAGTTATTTGCCCTTGGTCACAGAGTTAGGCTAGGTCTGATTCTGAAAACCTTGCACTGGATGTCTTTACATTATGCCTGCTAAGGGGCTGCTAAAGAGAAATAAGGCAGTCACTTTAAGAAAGAAATGTGAGGCTCGGCGCCTATAGCTCAACCGGCTAAGGCGCCAGCCACGTACACCTAAGGTGGCGGGTTCGAATCCCCAGCCCGGACCCGCC